ATGGTAAAACGCAACATATGAGTGTTAGTCCTAATATTGCCATGGTCATTCTTTCAAATAATGAATTTCCAGTTTCCATTGTCTGGTTCCACGTGCGCATTGAAGCTCGATATCAGAATGATGAATTTCACAGCTGTAAATCGAACAGAACGCATAGACGTGCAACAGCAATAAAACTTACGCCTATTACAATGTCAGTTCAATGATTGCGACTCGTCCGCTAGTAGGCTTCCATTCAATGATTCTGCCATGTAGGCTGCGTTTTACCAGTAGACGAATAACAGCCTGAGCGCCGGTCATAGAAAATACGTGTGCGTAGAACAACATCCTTCAGCAGAGGTTCAGAATTCTACAGCTCGGATGATTCGCTGACAAAAGTCAAACCACGTTTAGTCGATAACTTAAGCATCATCAAATTGCTCCCAATTTTTCCTCAGAGTGAGATGTTCCAATCTTCAAAAATTGACAGCTACTGTCGGCGCTGTTCCTGCGGAACCTTGTCTAATGTGTAACAAAAGTATTGCGTTGCTTGCAGTCTCCATTCAGAACGGACAGCAGCTCTGCTGGCTACTGGCCTATTTGTCTTCTTATGATCCTCGACAAAACAGCTCTCCGTCCTCTGCTGTAGAAGGCATGAAACATGTTCTGATAGTTGACGTTTCATAGTCTAACTCAGTTTCTTAAAAGCTCGTACGATTTCCATTAATCTGGGTGAAGACAGAGTCTATATCGCCACCGGCTGTTTCATTTTTGAAGTGTGCATTATTAGCGGCAGAACTGAATACGATGCCCAAAATCATCATTTTTCATCCTGGCTTGAGATCAGCAAAATTGCTTAATACACTGCTAAGACAGAATAAATAATGCATTTTTATCTGAATTTATTGCCAAATTAAAAAATGTCCCTTTCTGCGCTTCGTTCGGGAGAACAACTCCTATTGTAGCATAAATTCTGGGGTTTTGTTCTATTGTACATGCAGGTCATTTGCCAAAGGTACCGTCATCGAAATCTACTTCGCTTATTTTGATTTGTGAGCATGGATTGAGTGGCAGAAAAAGGATTTGTTACGTATCAGGGAGCGAAACGAGTTTTATGCTGGTGATGACATTTGAAAATGGCGTGTGCTCTTGTGTCCGCTGAAAAGCGCCCTTTGAAAAGGCCACGTATTGGACAGCCGGATTTCTATCCTCAGGATCCTAGGCAAAGCGAGGTATATGCTAAAAGCTATGGACATAACTGAAATGCAAAGGTCAGGCAGTCGTTGTACCAAAAAACGGTTCGCCGACTGTTCGTTTTAGATGCTGTCTAAATCTGACACCACAAGCATTTCGAATACCCTTTGCTAAACACTCGTTTCTGATTGGAGTTTCGTGTTATAAGCAAATTATTTTTACTCAGGATGAGCTCACGGCTGAAAAAGTTCGTCAAGGGTACCTGTACAAGTCTCCTCTCGCAAACGAGTATGAATCGGCTCGAAACCCCAGGCTAGACGAGAAGATAGAGGAATATTGTCTCAAGGTAAAATATTGCTGTCTCTTATACGGTTCATATCTAGATAAATCTAGAAAACGAATGGCGAAAACTTACAAATATATTAAATATGTTACTTTGGCTTTGTGCTGCAAATTAGTAAGATTAATCTTATGTTTATTTTTAAGATTCTAAAAGATTCTACATATCCGAAGATTCAGTATTTTGTTATTCACGAACAGACGAACTGAAGCAGACAGCATTCGGTTTACTAGAATACCACCCATTGCAATTAGCATACTAGATGCTAGGTCATTGCCTGTGTTTTTCTGTTTTCCCGTAAAATATGGCCGAAAATATCGGTGTTGTCTTATTCATCATTTACCACACATTTCTTCAGACCATAGTTACTCACTCGGTAAAATGTCTTACTCAGAAAACTGATGGGTCCAAATTTCAAGCCTCGCTTTTTGTTACTCATTCTTCTTCCTTTCGAGGTTGATAATGAGTACCAGTCCATGGGAAGGAATTAGGAGACTACATTCTGCGTTTGCCATATGGCTGTAGACTCCGCGTTCAAAAAAGACACTTTTGGCTGATGATATAGAAACAGACATCAGCACCGATCATGATGAGTGCTAAAATGGCCCAGTTATGAAACTAGAGGAAAATCGACATTCCAACGTTACTTTGGATCTCAGTAAAGTTGGTTTATTTCTATTTCATTATATTAGATGTAATATTAAGCCATTTCGCATTAAATGAGAAAAAATGGTTAATGACTTCTCAAAATGTTTTTCCATTCCAACAAACGAATGGCTAACAAGTTGTCGCTTTCCATTTCTGAAATGCGCCCTTTTTTAGATAAATCATGTATAATGAAATGGGTCCTCTTTTCCCTTTGGACGATGGGTTGTTCGATTATATTTTCTGTGCGAAAATATCTGCTTAAGTGTCCTCTACAGATGCACTACCAAAACAATCTGTAAATAAAAGTGGCGGGTAAAATCTTTCGTTTTTCATGTGAAATGATGTGATGCGCGTAGGATACTATTTATATTATCGCAGAAAAA